AATTATAACACTGATTACACAAACAGGAACTGACATTCCTGCTCAGATTATGAATTCATCAGGTATTTCTGCAAATACTTACCCGTTGAATTTTCAAAAATAAAATTGTATCAGAGTTCTTAATGCTTATCTCGATTCAATCTCAAAGTACAAATAAAATGTAAATTTGGTAATTTCCAAAGCTACACCATACAATGAGCTGTTTTATTAATGGTAAAATAAAAAATATAAAAGACAAGTTCTCTGTTTGAATGTGCAAAACAGCTGTTTTCCTTTCTAATCACTGAAACGTTTCTGTATTTTGTTTTTACGGTACCAATTGTTTTCTGGATTGATAATATTTTTGTTCAACCTCATATGGCATAGAGTGCCACTGAGCATATGGGATACAGTATCTGTCTTTTAAATTTCTTTTTCTAAAGAAGCATGTTGCTTTCGAATTCATTACTTATAAACCCAAAATTTGTACAATGGTTGAGTATTTAAACATTTTCTGCAGGGTACAATAGATGCATTAAAATTAAATCAAAATTTAACTACAAAACATTGAATAACAGGTGAGGAGAGAAGGCCCTTTGTGCCTCTTGTTTATAATGTGCATTTTCTCTTTACAGTAGAACATGTACGGTATGTGTAGCCATACCAGCTGTGAAAATACTGACAGCTACAGGCCATCAGTGTTTTACTAGACTTTAATGTAATGCACTAAACAAGTTTGAAAGTGTAATGTATTTATGTAAGGGACAGTATGACTCAAACACAATCATTTGACAGTGATGCTGGTTTTCACAACAATAGACACAGTATTTGGCCAGTATTGAACCATTCTAAATGGTCTGCAGGGGGTATGGAGTGTAAAACAAACCTTTCATTGTCAGGAAATGTTTGTGAATGGATGTAACGACTGTAAACATTTAAGAAAAACAATTTTTATTTTAATTCAAATTTGATTTTAATTTGAGGAATTTAATTGAAGGGTGTTTTTTAATTAATTTATTTGTACCTGTGTTGGAGGTGCACTTAAAAAGATGATAGTCTGTACTTTGGGTAGAGTTATTTGATAGTCTGTACTCTGCGTAGAGTTATGAACGATTGTCGAAATCAACCAAGCCATAACATTAAAAACCATTAGTAACTTTTTCAATGAAAAAAAAATCGAAATTCACACCGAATGCAAACATTCTGCTCATGTAAAACAAACATTGCTGTAGATCAGTAGGTATGTCATTGATTTTCTCGGAGTCAGGAAACAAACCATGATCAAATTTTGTCAATAAAGGACATTAAATTGAACTCAAAAATAACCCTTTTGTATATCGAATAAAAGGAACCACACACACAAGTGTATCAGTTTAGTTCTGTTTGAACTACCAGCCCTGTGAGCTGATAAACGTTTCAATTTGTTGTGTGTTGAAGTTACTGCGCGAGGTACGAGGAACAATTGTTTAAAACAGAGTGTGGGCTTATAAACGCTTTATCTAAAATTATTTTCTTTTACTTCTGAAAAAAACCCAACAACTTTGTGTTGTTTGATTTTAGTATTTATTTGAACCCTGAATTTGATAGCATAGAGCAAAAGACAAGGAGGGGTAAGATACGTTTTTTGTCAGAGTATTTTTTGAAAATTCTAAAAGATAAAAAATATTTGGTAAATGATTGACTAATTTTTACTGTTCAATACTTGGACAATAAAACTCATCTGTCAAAATAAAAAATAAAAAAACACAAATGATAATAGGGAAACTACTTTAAATTAGGCCTCAATCTGAGCATTTGTAAAAATGTTGAAAATTATGCATAAGTTAAGTTTTAAACAGGTTTAAATACTTGTTGGAATGTGTGAAGTTTAAAAGATATAGAGTAAAGTTGTGCAACTAATATATCAGCATTGCAAAATTCTATTGATGTACAAACCTGAGTTATTTCCCTTAGCCAGTCTTAATTTGAATGCTTTGACTGGCCCCATCATGATTGACTTTGTAAGACTTTTAGCTATTTGGAGGATGAATAACTCCATACAAATCGTTATTTGCATGTCCCGAATTTGATATTTAATGCCAGCACAAATTAGAGGTTTTTATTGTAATATAAAACTTACAATGCTGGACATCAGTCTTGTGTGTAATATAGTGATGGGTTGTTGATAGATTATTACCGAAAAATTGATTGGTTTGAACTTTCCGATTCCGATTATCAAAACAAATTCCATAATGCTTTAATCAGTTTATTACTCAAATCAAAGTGCCAAATGTATACCATGTTTAGTATGCATTGAAAGTCATTTATTCTTATGATTTTTACTATATGATTGACAAAACTGCATAAAGTTGCTTGAAATCCGTTCATTATAAAAGAACAAAACCTAATGTATAGTTATTAACTATGTCTGTTGATGTTACTTAGTTTAGGTATTCAGTCCCATAAAGTTATAAACCAATTACGTAATGGATCATCTATTGGTTTACTACTTCCGATTACAAACCAATTATTCAATATCAATCTTGATTATGACTTTAAACCTATATATTGCCCAATCACTAGTGAAATATTGACCTCAGGTTAAGGGTAGAATGAACTCCTTCCCAGAGTCATGTTTGTATATAGGAGGTGTTGGTTCCTTTGAAATGAATTGTTTCCACATTGAACAAAAAGTTTTCTTTTTAAATTAATTTCATCCTTTGAAAGTGACTTTTGTGGGTTGTGAGAGAGGTTTAAGTGCTGGACGTCATCACATAGAATCAAGTGTGTACTCAATTCTGGACTAGAGCTAAATGGTACAAGTAAACATCACAGCCATTATAAATTTTCCTATTGTTACTGTGTTAACTTAACAATCCAAATATTTTCACTTAACCCATTCACACATGAAGTCACTTTTGAACCTTACTTAATCAAAGACTGGGCAAGTCCAGTTTAGGTAAGTAGGGGTGAATGAGTTAGATTATAGATATTTGGTAGAGGTGTTTGTAGAGTAGATGAAACAATTGTCCAATCAAAGCTTATCTCTATAGATTTGGATGATAAAATGCGAGACTGACCAATGACCATCATAGAATATGGATTCATCAGGTCTAAAGTTTATTTTAAACAAAAGATATTTTCACTTAGATCAAGGCAATAATAGAATGTACTCAAAGATTTAAAAAGTGGTCATGCATTCAAAGGAGCCATTATCAGGGACCATTAAAAAGGGGCAATGCTCAGGGACCTTAAAAAGGGGCCATAGTCTTGGAGCATTACAGTGTACAGTGACCTTGCTGAAAATTCTGTGGTTTAATGTCATCTAGTTCAAGTTGAAATTTGACATCGGGATTCAAAAAGTTTTCAATCAGTTTCAAAGGACTAAACTTCAATGCATGTAACATTGTAGAGGGTATACTTGGCCATCTATTAAAGAATGTTTGCAGTTTCCACATCCAATTCTTTTTCATTTGGTAGGTAGGTAGGGAAGGTTTTTCTGATTTTAAAAATACTTGTGTCAGATTTCTTTATAAAAACTTAACAAAAAAAAATCAGCTTCAATTTGATTTTGAAAAGTTCCAAAAGAAGTTTGAGCAGGTGCTATTTTAGCGAGTTGATCAGGAAACAAACAAGTTTTTAAGGATGGCCTTAGAAAAATTTAAATAGACCTTCACACTTAAGGTTTCAACTTTCCCACTGTCCTTTACTTACTGGTGTGACACCATACCTTAAATGCTCAGCTGTTGACCAGGCTGTCATCATAACATGTAAGTGTTAAGGAATTACAGAGAAAGACTTTTTCAATCATGTTCTCCAAATCTTACAGTTGACTTAACATCCAGAATAATTGATTCTCGAACATCACAAGTTGAAATGTAACAATACCAGAACTTAAGCATTTAAAGGAAATTTAGTCCAGGACTGTTAACCCTTGTTTACTTTACTTTGACTTGATAGGTCACTCTGCTTGATTAAGAATGTTCTGTGTACATTGTAAAATTTGGTACCTGTATGTTTCCAGTGTAAAGTTGGGTCGGTCTATAATTGACACAGTTTTGAGAATTCAGGGCCTCTTGCCTACTGATATATGATACTACTAAACACCTAATAAAGTGTTTTCTGATCAAACAAGAATATTACTCTATACAGGGTAATTACCACTTCATGGTTGTCTCCCCTTGGACCCCCACTCCCTTGAGGTCGAATCATACTACATATGTGTATACTGGAAAGTAATGACCTGATGGCATGGCAATTATAATTTCTGAATTAATAGATAAACTTGAGCTCTATTTTCTGTCCATATGTAATGGAAATAACAAAAACATGCTTTGTAACAGCTAAGGTATATGAAGGGGATTTAAATACTGCCTTAAAATGCTGGCAAGTTAGCTTTTCCAGCGATGCAGTATATAACCCGGGGATCCGCTCACTAGTTCTGTTGTTTGATCTGAGGAGTGTAAGCTTGCTCAAAGAATAAATTATCTTAGGTGTGTCGTCTATTTGTTATTACAACCAAACACTTGCAGTAAATTTAGGAGGAGTTATACTGAAATCAGCTTGTCTGTCCATCCTTAAGTAGACTATATACATCTCTACTGCTTCTCTTCATCTACGTGAGACCTATTTCTATAATTTTGATGTATGTGAAATGAAAGCTAAATAAAAGGTATAGTATAACAGTGTGTTTAAATACAGACACACCTGCTTGAGGGACCACCTCTGTTAAGGGACCGTCTGTGATAAGAGGCCACTTTCATGTTAATTGAATCTGTATCCATTGATCAACCCTAAATTCACATTTGAACCTTACCAAATCAAAGACTGTGCAAGACCAGTTTAAATATACAGGGGTGTGTGTGTTAAGAAATCACCTGCAACAAGTGACCAGTCATTGGGGGCTTCCAGAAGGTGGTCTCTGAACATAGGTTTGACTGTAATATAAATATCTAAAGACCGATAGGAAAACAATCTATCCGGTCACCAAGGCTGATCAGGCTGGTTCTGTAAAGATATAACTGTATTGTTCTTTATTACAGGAGTGCCCAAACCTCCTCCCCCTGTGGTTGGCAAGGTAACCCACCAATCTATAGAGCTGTACTGGGACGAAGCCCTCGTTCATGCATACAGTGTTTGCAAAAAGGCAGATGGCAAGATCAAGTCCTTCTTACAGGAAAAGGACCGCGGTGGACAGTGGTGCGGCGCCTACACGTAAGTCTGGATGAGATCATTAGTTATTAGGCCAGGAAAGGAAAAGCTTTGTTTTCTGTTACAAAAGTAGACATGTAAGGAATGTTTGCCCTTTATATACATAGCCAAACCAGAAATATCTGTTTTCTATTGCAGTCTTTAAAGAAGGTAGCTTTCTTGAGTTTAGAGGACATTCATGTGTAGCTCTTTATGTAAAATGTCTGGCTTGAGTCTCAATGAGGGGAGATATTGTATCTTTCTTGAGCCTTGAGGGCAGATATCATGCCTTTCTTGAATCTTGAGGGAAGGTGTAACATCTTTCTTCAGTCTTGAAATAGATATTGAGTCTTGAGGGCAGATAAAGTGCCTGTCCTCAAGTCTTGTTGGAAGGTACAGTGTATTGTTTAGTCTTGTGACAGATATAGTGTCTTAATGAGTCTTGTGGGCAGATATAGTGTCTTAATGAGTCTTGTGGGCAGATATAGTGTCTTCATAAGTCTTGTGGGCAGATATAGTGTCTTAATGAGTCTTGTGGGCAGATATAGTGTCTTAATGAGTCTTGTGGGCAGATATAGTGTCTTCATAAGTATTGAGGGCAGATATAGTGTCTTAATGAGTCTTGAAAGCAGATGTAGTGTTTTAATGAGTCTTGTGGGCAGATATAGTGTCTTAATGAGTCTTGAAAGCAGATATAGTGTTTTAATGAGTCTTGTGGGCAGATATGATATCTTAATGAGTCTTGTGGGTAGATGTAGTGTTTTCATGAGTCTTGTGGGCAGATGTAGTGTCTTCATGAGTCTTGTGGGCAGATGTTGTGTCGTAATGAGTCTTGTGGGCAGATATAGTGTCTTAATGAGTCTTGTGGGCAGATATTGTGTCTTAATGAGTCTTGTGGGCAGATGTAGTATATTAATGAGTCTTGTGGGCAGATACATTGTCTTAATGAGTCTTGTGGGCAGATACATTGTCTTAATGAGTCTTGTGGGCAGATATATTGTCTCAATGAGTCTTGTGGACAGATGTATTGTCTCAATGAGTCTTGTGGACAGATATAGTGTCTTAATGGGTCTTGTGGGCAGATATAGTGTCTTTATGAGTCTAGTGGGCAGATACATTGTCTAATAAGTCTTGTAGGCAGATGTAGTGTCCTAATGAGTCTTGTGGGCAGATAAAGTGTCTCAATGAGTCTTGTGGGCAGATGTAGTGTCTCAATGAGTCTTGTGGGCAGATATAGTGTATTAATGGGTCTTGTGGGCAGATATAGTGTCTTAATGGGTCTTGTGGGCAGATGTAAAGTTAAGTTGAGTCATGTAGAGTCATGTAGGAGGCGTGGTAGTCTAACGGTAGAACGCCGCCCTCCTGAACGAAGGGTTGCTTGTTCGAGTCATTGCACGGCACTGTGTCGTATCCTTGAACAAGATACTCTACTCCGCTTGTTCCAGTCTACTAAGCTGTTAAATGGGCAGTGCTAGAATTATAGAATGCTAGCTGTGAGCGCTGAAATGGCAGCACCGACTGTATGCTCCCCAGGGAGTTTAGAAAGATATTGGCTGGTTGCAAAGGCCCTATAACCACGGATAATAATTTTTGAACCGCTTTGAGACGACCTACAAACTAGATTGTGATAAAGCGGCATATAAGGGACCTCAAATTATTATTATTATTATAATATCCTACTGAGTCTTGAGGGCAGATTTAGTATCTATCTAGAGTGTGGAGGGCAGATACAGTGTCCTGAGTCTCAAAGACAGATAGCGCTGGAGGGATTGTGTCTGTCTGTGAGACTGGATGGATGGCAGCTAGCTCTGAAAGTTGGAGGAGTGTCGGTCTGGAGATTATAGTGTAATTCTAATGTTAATGTTATCATTTTGGCTTGTGTAGCAAATGGGTTTTAATCTAGAACATACTTTTTAAGGACATAAGTACCAAAATCTGAAGTGTCTGATATATTTATATATAACCACTCTGTTGCACAATCCAGCCGACATGAAAGGATCTCTTGAGTTTGCGGAGTTTATAATAAGTTTTTAAGCCATGACTTTTGATATATATTTTCAAGTATATAGTCACAACAGTGGTCTGTTTCAAAAGCAAATATTTGAGTTACGTCTGTCGAAAGAAAACAATATCCTCTGAATTGCTTTGTATGTACTTAGTTCATATATATATAGCTGGTTTTTATTTTAGATTCAGTTTGTCTATGAATTTATTAACTACTTTGATGTATAATGAATTTATCTTTACCATTGAAAATCTGGGGCATACAATTTCATATTTAAGTGTACTGGCCCCCAGGCAGATTTTAGAAAAAATCAAATAGCCTATATGATATATATGTTTTCATAGTAAATATTGAAAACTTTCGCTAGTCCTGACGTAGAATCCACTAGCCCCGGATTTCAGCCTAGACAAGTGGACTTGTATACAACCCTGAATATGATAAAAATTATACCAATTACATCAAGTAGACATTAAGGGAAATGGTAAGGCGGCTGGGGTTCGATTCCCCGATCGGACGTGAAAAGGTTTGGGGTCACTTGCCCGTTCACATGGTTTTTCTCCGGATACTCTTCTCCGGATACTCCGGTTTCCTCCCACAACAAGACCCCCCGCGCGCGCTAACATCCGGGCCAACAAGAATGATTAATATAAGTTGAAATAACTTGTTTCATAATTGTTTTAAAATAAATAAAGTTTATAAGTAGACATGATTGTTTAAATACAAAAAATATGATCATGTTTTCTTGGGTCAAAGTTTTTCATTAGAGTATATTACATAACAAATAGTTAACACAGGTAATATTTTTTTAATTTCCCTTACAAGTCACTGCATCAAAAGTATATATTAGTACCCATCTTGTGACTTAATCTCCAGATATCTTTACTTACTTAAAGCAAACTTGTTTTCTAAAAGTTATATTCAGTATATTTCACCACTTTGAAGGAAGAAAGAATTGATGTGGTGCCAAACAAAGCTGATCAGTGTCTGTAAAATGTTTTGTGTTAATTATTCATTGAAAACAAACACATTTGTGACAACAAATTTAGTGTAGAGGTACTGAACTGGGGTGACCATCGGCAACCAGGTTTCTCAATTGGTAGAGCGTCTGTCTAGAGTTTGGAGGGTTCCGGGTTCAAATCCCAGTCTGTTTGGTTGTGTCTTTCTCCTGTTACGAAATTGGATAGCTTGCCAACCCTTGTTTCTGCACTGGGTGAGTGCTTGGCAAGGGATACCTGAATCTGGGTTGTAAATAGTTGTGTCTTCGGGGAAGAAGACTTAGAAAAAGGAGGGAGGAATGTCACAAAAAAAAGGAGGTAGGAATGTTACAAGAAAAAGGATGGAGGAATGTTACAAGAAAAAGGAGGGAGGAATGTTACAAGAAAAAAGAGGGAGGAATGTTACAAGCCTAACTTTACTTAAGGAAATTATAATTATGTTCGCAACCAGGACTGATAATTGGGAAATGTTCTGTGTCACAGAATGTTCCAGATAGTGTGGACTTGAAGAGTAAATAGTAGTAAATACTACCACTACAATCCTCCCTATGTAAATAGTGATGTTTATTGGGGGTATTCACCCACAGCTAATTACATACCTGGTCATTGACATGAGAAGTTTGATTGAGATTGGTGTTTTGATAACGTCTTAAGTATCACAGATATTTTCTTTTCTCTTGTACTGTACTCTGACTTTCTGCAGCCAGTCTAACTAAATATTGACACACGGAACAATCTCGGAAAGTTCCACAGATTACATTGACGACTGCAACTGTTTACAATCCTAGGTTATGTATTGGGGTTTCCAGTCTACAATAGATTCTCTAGTTGTGTAATGCTGAGGTTGATAAATTGATTTAGATTTCAGCATGATGTCAAATTAATTAGAGATCTGTTGCGTAATGTTGATCCGATGAATTATGTACACTGGCACCTAAGCCGATAAATAGCGGGGTTTTAAGGTCTGGATAAACAAGTTATTGTTCAGTGGAATTACTTCAGTATTCTCGGACTGAATTCTGTAGATAGATAATAGATAAGATCGTAGGAGTCCTAAATATCATCGATCCATACCATGAAAAATATTCACGAATATAGGTATTAACTCGGGCTTTAGGAAGTTACTGTATATTACCTAATTCTGTGGGTAGACAGTTTTGATGGTGACATGGCTTAAGCAGGCTATTACATCTGAGATGACACCTGTATGTACGAATGATGATCCGCTTCCCAACAAATTATTATCAAAATTTCATCATTTTCAGTGTGCTGTTTGGTTAAATAAATTTATAAAAAGTCCAAATTCTTTAAAAGCAGTGATATAAAAATAAAAGTATAAACTGTTTGGGCCCATTGATAGCTGTTTCAGAGTTAAGGGGAACTATATGGACAGGAAAGAACAGTCATCATTTTGATACAATGCATTTCGTAAAGGTGGCGAAAGGATGGCCAGCTGTCACAGTGGATAATGCACTCTCCATTAAAGACAGCCAGGGTTTGATTCCCCAATAGGTTCCTTCCACATTGAGACAGCTAACATCCGGGCCAACAAGGATTCTATTTACTATCAAAATAGACGTTAAACTTGTCTTAGGCTAGCAGGGATTCTATTTACTATCAAAATATATGATAAACTTGTCTTAGGCTGGCAAGGATTCTATTTACTATCAAAATAGACGTTAAACTTGTCTTAGGCTAGCAATAGCATTTAATAGTAAATAGAATCCTTGCTAGCCTAAGACAAGTTTAGCATATATTTTGATAGTAAATATAGTCCTTGCTAGCCTAAGACAAGTTTAACATATATTTTAATAGTAAATAGAATCCTTGCTAGCCTAAGATATTTTAATAGTTATTAGAGTCCTTGCTAGCCTAAGACAAGAGGCCCAATGGGCATGCATCGCTCACCTGGTAGTGATCTCACACTTGTAATTTTAAAAGTGGACTAAAATACAGCTACAGGCAGAATATCAGTGTTTGATTCATAAGAACCTATTAAAAGATTTAAACATATGACGCCTGTG